CACCCTGGACAGGGTACCAGTCCATCGCAGGGCACAGGGCTGGGGTACACCCTGGACAGGGTACCAGTCCATCGCAGGGCACAGGGTTGGGGTACACTCGGGACAGCGACCCAGTCCATCACAGGGCACAGGGCTGGGGTACACCCTGGACAGGGTACCAGTCCATCGCAGGGCACAGGGTTGGGGTACACTCGGGACAGCGACCCAGTCCATCACAGGGCACAGGGCTGGGGTACACCCTGGACAGGGTATCAGTCCATCGCAGGGCACAGGGTTGGGGTATACCCTGGACAGGGTACCAGTCCATCTCAGCGCACAGGGCTGGGCTACACCCTGGACAGGGTGCCAGTCCATTGCAGGGCACAGGGTTGGGGTACACCCTGGACAGAAGGGCAGTCCATTGCAGGGCACAGGGCAGGGGTACACACTGGACAGAAGGGCAGTCCATCGCAGGGCACAGGGCTGGGGTACACCCTGGACAGAAGGGCAGTCCATGGCAGGGCACAGGGTTGGGGTACACCCTGGACAGAAGGGCAGTCCATTGCAGGGCACTGGGCAGGGGTACACCCTGGACAGAAGGGCAGTCCATTGCAGGGCACAGGGTTGGGGTACACCCTGGACAGAAAGGCAGTCCATCGCAGGGCACAGGGTTGGGGTACACCCTGGACAGGGTACCAGTCCATCGCAGGGCACAGGGTTGAGGTACACCCTGGACAGGATGCCAGTCCTGCCTTCACCAGTGTGAAGATCTGACCCCTTTCTAACAAAAAGATGACAATCCCAGGAAAATACGGAAGTGTTTTTTTTATTTTTTACTTTTGTAAAAATACAAAGATCCCATTCAGATGTGGCATTAAGGCAGGGCACAGATGTGCAGTCAGCCCACAGACGTGTCCAGGGCAGGCAGTGCACTCTGCACAGCTCGCTGCTCGGCTCTGATTTGCTGATTGGTAGCCTGTGTTCCCAGCATTTCTGTCCCTCCCCACCTCACTCGCCACTGCAGTATGGTGGTGTCCTTTCCCCCCATGGACAGCAGGTGGCTGTCATTGTGAGTGAAGTCCACGTTGGTCACATGACTGCCATGGCCCTCGTATCGGTGACTGGGGGCCTGGAGGGAAAAGAGCAAAACGCCAGCTAGCCACAGCCTACCCCACTGACCACTGATGGGTGCTGCAAGGGCCATACACACTAATGTCCAATATCAAATCTCTATGGGTCCTCTGTGAGTGTTCAGCACTGTAATGTCGCACATTCTGCTGCCATTTTAAGCATCACGGATTAAGGATGTATAAAATATCACTAGTATCTGTGTTAGTACATTGCTGAATCCTTACACAGAAAGGAGATTTGACTTTATTGGGATAAACATTCACATAGACTAATGATCATGTGTGAATATTTCATGAATCTTCATGACATGACAAAGACCATACGACTTAAGTAAACCTTCATCGGTATATTCCTTGATGTTGACTGGTTCAGCGAGTAGCATTTAAAAATCCTGTGGATATGTAGATGAAATCCAAGATGGATGAATTTGAAACATGTCACAGGGGTAAGGGTGGTGACCCCCCCCCCCCCCCCGGCCATGGGGCTGACCTTGGGCTTGGGGCAGGGGTACTGGAACAGGTGCACCTTACAGAAGTCGTCAGCCACGGCTACCATCCTCTCGCAGTGGGAGCGACACAGGGCGTTGATGTCCGTGCCATCTGACCCCTCGGGCCACACACCTGTAGGGGGCACTAGAGCTTCAGCACACACGATGCACGGAAGACCACACTGCTTGCATGAACACACTCTCCACTGACATGGGCATGGACTATCTCAGCTGCTATTTCCACTGATTATAGGTGCATGGAACTTACAAACATGACGTGTTAATAGAATGATTTACTACCTTTATGCTTCTGAACAGAGACTGTTGTTACTCATTGTACTTAACCTATTAAAAGAGATAAGTGTCCAAAGTCCTTTGGACAGCTCCAGAGTTCCCTCTCACCCATGACGTGGAACCCCAGCACGCAGGTGTAGGACGCCCACTCGCGGTCCCTGCTGTCGTAGCGGTTCCTCAGCAGCCTGCACCCCCTGGCCACATCCCCTGTGCAATGCCAAATTCCTCAGACACTGGTCCTCTGGTAAAGTTTACTTTCCACAAGTATTTGGTTCAACGCTGAATGACAAAGGTGACTAACACACCCTGCTTGTACTCTAAGCTCATACGAATAGTGATACTTACAGTAGAGAATTTCATAGTCTCCTGAGTTTGACATGATGTATTTTCCATCTTTGGACCAGTCCAAGTGAGTAATAAAGCTGGAATGCCCCTATGGAAACATGCACAACAAACATTTTAATCCAAGTAAAACAACCTTTTGTGTCACTGTCAGCAACCACAGGCTTTTAAATCTGCACCCAGTTCATTGAGGTAAAATTATATTTCTGTTGTGTCATACTGATCTGCAATATTATTCCTCCTTATTTACTGATGTCTGATATTACATTGCAAAGACCCAGTGCATTATTCCCTGTGTGGTAGCTTCCTTTGGGATGCTAATATCTGGCACCCGAGCAATCTGTGTGTGTATGTGTATCTATATATATGGAACTAAGTTATTTGTTGTTAATGTGTCCCACAGCCGTAACACAGCAATTTCTCCCTTTGGCGATCAATAAAGTCCTGTTTTGTCCTGTCTTATCCTTCCCTGAAGTGTCCTATCCTAATATGGGTCCTGTTCCTACCCCTGGTTCTGGTCATGTGGGATTTGTGATATTCCTCTTGGCACTCTTAGGGAATATCACACAAATGCACAGTTTTGCTCCCACAGTCCAAAGAGTGACATGAGGGCTGGTATCTCTCTTGCTTTTGGAGTATGAATATGTACCTTGTCTCCTACTGTGTCCTTCATGAGTCAGGCTTTACAGAACCTGCTACATATTAGTGATGAAAACACAGTTGTTTCTCTTATTGTGCATTAGGCAAGTAACGATATGTCATACATCGATAAATCACGGTTCAAATTTATGACAATTGAAATCGTGGAAATAAAAAATTAACCACTTAATAGCTCAAACTATTAGGCTGCATAATCAGTTTTTCATAACTGTATCTGCATTGTTTAGACAGTAGAAGGCGCAACAGCTTGGCCTGCCCCCTACAAGCAACCAACTAATACAACCTGCAGAAGTGACCCCATGGAATGCCGAAATGATTATTATAAAGAGGCCTATTGGTCATTATTTTTTTCATTTTTAAAGGAATATTTTAGCTAATAGTCTACTATATTTTACTCCAACTTTTACTAATGTTTGTAAATAATTATTCTTGGTTATTAAGAAAATGAAACTTTTTATTTAACAAAGGGAATAATCACATTGATAAAGAATAGAAAATAAACATCATATTATTTTTGTGATAAAAAATTTTTTATTTAACCATTTGTCCTGGGAAAATGTAACCGTGAACTTAATATTGTGAATCGAACAGAATCATCAATTAGGGAATCGTCACATGCCTACCGTGCACTTTCCAAAGCGAGTGTAGTGGTGCCCTCCCTCGGTGACACTGTAGATGTAGATGACGTTATCATGGGACCCTACTGCCAGGAAACTACCATCTTTAGGAAAGAAAAACAAATGCTGAATATATCAAATCACAGCAGAACACACCACCTCATAAGTCAATTAGCATAATGCTATTAAGGATTCCAAATTAATGTGGAGGCACTGATAATACTCACCAGGCTTATATTTAATACAGTGAAAAAACTGATTGGATAAGAGAAATAATGATCCCTGGAATACAGCTATAGTTCGAATCGGCCTTTGGATCTTAGATATTAATGTGAGAAAATGACCACTCACCAGGTGAGTACCTCATGACGGACAGCTGTTCATTCCCATCAGTGTAGTCTGACACAATATGTCTGGTTTGAAGATCCAGTACCAGCCATCTGTTTTTGGGGTACAGTTATGCCGAATCAAAAAATAAAATGAACATTCCTCCCTTTCCTCTCAACTTGGAGGTGTTCATCACTGGGACCTTTTCAGCTGACAACCCAATGTTATTTCTACAACTAGCAGAGTACAGCCTAGTCCATTTATTTGTGGGACTGGGTGGCTCACACAGCAATAAGCCAAAACACATCAAGTTTGTAAAATAACAACTGAATCGTGAGCTTTCAAAAACATAACAAATGAGATTTTTCATAATTGAATTCAGATGCACCCTATTTGAATTGAAAATTTACAACACAAACATGTTAATAATAGTAATAACAGTGATTTCATAGGTGGCAAAGTCACTAAAATTAGCATGGCAACTTGTCAGATTGGGCTAAATGTTAGTGAATGAAGATAAAGGCCATTTATTACTGGGGTGCCTCAAAACTGACAGCTTATCTAGCTAACAAACAAAGGGTTTCTTGTCTCGTAAGGAATACAGACTGAACTTTATGAGATTCAGAAAGTAATTTCTACTGACACCTACTGGTCGCAAGATATACAACGTTGCAGGTCATTTGGGAATGTGGACTGCGGTGCTGAGACTGACCTGCCAGTGCTGAGGCCTAGAGACACCACACTGCCATTGGGACAGAAATCAGCACACAGGCCAGACTCCTGGGGAAAAAAGCAGGCGGCATTGTGGGACTGCTCTCCAAAAATACAAATCCACCGCACTGACAAATTGAAGGTTTTATGGGATTAGTTATATATTGCTGTTAATGTTTCAGCTTATTTTAGTGTGTCAGCTTTACTATTTTAAAATCTCTCCTCAAGTCACCCAAGGATTTACACTAACCATTAATTACACCTATGTATTTGTTAAATGCAATCACTAGTACAATTTGTTTAGCTAATCAACACTTCATGAAGTGAAATCATTAATTGTGCAGATGGTCAAATAATAAACAATCAAACAATAAAAATACACAGAATAGTTGGGTGCCTTGAGGATAAATAAGTAACTTTGCAGAGCAAGGAAACTCTCGTCTGCACTTCTACTCACTTTTTACTATACAATGTGTTTGTGGACAAGTTTAGCCAAGGGACCGAATTTTTCTGCCCAGTGGGAAAATGCCCCCACCAGATATCAAAAACCAAATATTGTACGAATGTCCTCGCTTCCCATTCGATTTTTGTGCTTTGAAAATATTAATAAATAAAACCTTAAAAATTAAATGTATTTCTGAGTCTTGGTGGTTTGGCGTAAGCAAGTGGTCATTTCTATAACATTACAGTCAAAGGGAAATCAGTACTGATGTAGCTATGCACAAAATGTGTGTGTGTGTGTGTGTGTGTGTGTGTGTGTGTGTGTGTGTGTGTGTGTGTGTGTG